CGTGTTATCTATTGAATAAAAAGCCTGAGAAGTAATGACTTTGGCGTTCCTCCAGTCAGCTGCAATGCTGTTATGGAGCTGTGATACTGGCACTGACCTGATGGTGACATACCAGAGGCCCCTCGCCTCAGCTCAGCCCCTCCTACCTTGTGGGGCCCCATTTAGTCCTTTACAACAGGCAGCAAACACTGGCCAAGGCACAGCCTGTTGTGCACAGGGAACACGGACAGCCTCCCACACCAAACTACATACAGGCGTGATAGACTGTAGGTTACTCTGGGCCAGCGTTCAAAGAAGCTGCTGTGTATTCAGTATAAGTGGATAATTGTTCTTTGGAAAATGCACAAACAGACAGAGAAATATGTGTATGGGTGTCTTGTGGTGGGGTGTGGGGCAAAGGAGAACGCTAGCTGTGGAAATGCGAGCTAGCCGGCATCTGATTGGCCAACCAAGAGGGCTGATCCAGGCTAGATTTGTGGTTCAGCTCAGGTCTTGGAGAGGTTAATTTGTAACCCTGGGAAAGAGAAGCTGGGGCCCAAGCTCCCTGTAACAACCTCATGGCTGTGGACGTGGTGTGTTTTATGGAAGACAACCAACATGTTAAGGCTGTCCTTGCCTGAAGATATTCTAAGCCATCCTACACTCGTTCAATTTTGTCAACTAATCAATTAGTTGAACAAATGAACAGAGTAGTTAATCCACAAAGATTTCCATCAAAAGTACCACATGAAATCTTGCTTTTACCACAAATGTGATCTTAAGTTTATGGAAAATAAGTAATTTAGCATGAAAAAAGTATTAAAAAAACTTGAGTTGAATGAGGAAATAATAGTCTAAGACAGAATACACCAATGGGTCCATTAGTCGATTAAGGAGGGCAGCCCTACAAGGTGGAGAGCTTTCCAGGGCTGACACCAACTTCTCATCTTCTTCATTTTATACTTTTAACTTCTCTTATCAACCTTTACCTAATTTGCTCAAGTGCCTCTCCCGGGGACCACAGATAACCACTATTTGTCTGCGTGGCCCTACTTCTGTCTGACAGCATGTCTCAACTGCAACAAGGTAGAAGCAGAAGTGAGGTTAACTCGGGGAAACTGATGCACATATGATCACAGACAGGAACTTATGCAACGCCGGCTGCGGCCCTGTGACCGAGACTTCTCATTTCACTCTTCTTCCATTATTTCCTGCTTACCTCTTGGTCCATCGGCTCCGCTTTTCAGTGTCTGTGTCATCCGACGGCTCGCCACATCCATCAAGGTCCGAGACCTGATCAATAGCCACTGGCTTTCCTCTCATGCGCCTCGTAGACGCACACAAGTGGTCTTATTGCTCATGTAATGATCGACTTATCGGGTCATTTGGCTGCTTATTTTGTTACTGTCCGCTGATTGGGGCCCAGGGGGTATTTATTGTTTACAGACACACGTGGGCGACAGCACAGAGGTTAGAAGAAAAGGGAAGTGCACACTAAAGGCCATGAGTCAAGATGGGTGAGGACGTGAGCCCGAGAGAAGAAGGCAGATGGAAGATTGACGTCATTATAGAGGGAGAGATAGCAAAGGCAGCACAGTGAGCGATTAGAATGCCTGCCAGAATCCAATTAGATACAGCCCAAGAGAATGACTGACAGGCAGACAGACAGACACAGCAGACAGCCCAGGAGACAGCCAGAGAGTGCAGCTGCACTGGTCTGCGGTAATGAAGTCACTTCATTCCCAAATAGCAAATAGAAGAAGTCGGAGAGATGCAGCTGTCTGCCGTCTGTGCCGCAGCCACAGTGTCAGCCCAGCCAGCGAGACAGACAGAGGAAGGCTGTTCTCTCCGTCTGACACTTCTGACTCTGGGCCAGCACAACGACACAAACAAGGAAAATAAGCAACACACAGCTATGTTCCTCTCCTCTGTGGTTATGCTTGCTAGGGTTAGAAATATGTCTAAAATATCATGTCATAATGTTTACTTATCTCAAAACTACATATTTGCTTCTACTTTAGACATATAAACACAGAAAAGTTAATGATTGTGGTAAATTAAACCAGTTACACACACAGAGGTATACAGTTAGATGACCTTTGTGTATCTTTGTATCTTCAAATATAACTTACCGATATTACTACACGGGATTTTTGTATCATTCAGATGTTTTGTAATACACTGTTCACTTGCCTGGTAAAACACGCAGCCTAAATAAAAAAGATGACGATCATCAAACGAAATTTCTATTACTTCCCGTCTTGCGAGATATAAAAAAAAAACCCAATAAAAATGATGACACATGATCTTGGCTCAGAGAAAAGTGTCAATCACACCCCCTGAAGGCAGAATGAACTCATTGTCTGTCAGTAACCAAAGTAACTCTTGAGATAAGGCTTTACCTTGTTGCTGTCTGTTGGTGGCGTCTGTCTAGCAAACTCTATTTACACAGCAGGGATCAGTAGACAGGGCTGCAGTGCCTCGAGGCACAAAGCGCCGTTTATAGAGAGCAAGTCCTGGAGTTTTTAACTGCACCTTCTCAAACTAAACACTCCTAACAGGATATGGGACCAGTAGCCATTGGAGAAGGTGGGTGAAAAAAACTTCCAGAAAGCCCTCTTGTTGAAGTCTCTTCTCTTTTAGAGGTCCCACAGTTCTCTGGTAAAACTATGAACCATTTGTAAATGTGCACATTGACACTTAGTGTAAATAAGGGTGATTGGGAAAAGTGTATGCAGTCGGGGTTAGACCAACACACCGAGGCGAGCCATCTTTCCAAAAAACATGTGCTACTATAAGCTGCCTGGCTGAACCGCCACTCACATCCACTGGGATGTGGAAAGTATTAGTCACTCGACCAGTGCAGCAGAGGCAGCTGGACAGAGAGTCTGGAGGATGTTCAGGGTGAGGGACATGTCCGTCTGCACCTCTTCCTGTTCCGTCAAACACACTTTCATAATTATTATTACATTATTACATGTTACTTGTTAGACGCTTTTATCCAAAGTGACTTACATACTCAATACTGTGGACAATCACCACAGCACAACCCACTGCACCACACGCCTAACACAAATACACACACATAAACAGAGACTGGATGGAGTGGCTGAGTGAAGTGGGACACTGCCAGTCAGGTCAGCTCGTTCTCTGGCCAGTGACCTCACACACCAGTACATCCGCTTCTGTGTGGGGGTGGGGTAGCATCCTCGATGAATGCCAAAATCACCTGCTTCCTGTAGACTCACAGGCAACTGTCTTTCCAGGAATCCGGCCATTTGAGACTTCTGCCTACACAAATATAGCTAGCTTTCACTTTTAATTTGAGAATACTATTTCAGATTAAGCTTCAAAAATAGAAAATAAAAATCACATCCAAGCCCCTATAGCCCAGCACTAGAGGAAAGAAAAAGAAAACGGAAAAGCCAGCGAAAGGGAAAATAAATTGACTGAGAAATCACCTCTGAGAGAAAAGACAGCACCTGAAACTGTGGTGAGACAGAGGCTCCAGGAAGACTGGTAAAGTGTGAGACAGAGAGACAAAGATGTGTCATACCGGCCTTCAGTTAGCAGCCCATTACACACACTGAGGTTGGCAATGTCTCACATATAAACACACACACCAAAGACTGTAGGACTCATCCACCTTGAGCATATGTTTGAGTATAGTGTGTTGCGTCCGTGGTCTGTGTACGATGCAGTTTCCTCTGTGGTATTAAACGTCTCTGCCTTTGAGAAAGAATGTCTACTTCTTCCAAGATGCATAACTTAAACCAAGGCGGAGGAAAAGAGGGAGGACAATTGGGAAGAGGCTAGACAGGAATGCGGTCAGGATGCTAGACGAGACAGCAGACGCGGTATTTCCAGTAAACTCAGACACCAAGTTAACCAGAAAAACCGAAGCATCTCTTTATCCCAGGTACACAAACAATATAAAATGTATTCCACAAATGTGCATACTAATTCTGCCAACTCTTTATTCCCCACCTAACCTGCTGTCTGCTGTACTACCATCACAGATACATCTTGCCAGCAATGTTCGTAGTGGAGCTCTGGTGTCCTTAAAATGTGTGTTTGCTTGGTAAAACTGTCTTAAAATAAACTTTAAATGGTGATTTATGCCTAGACAAACTAGTGAAACAGACAATAACACAACCCCCCCTTAATCCACAAAACAATAGAAAGTGGGCAGTCCACTATGGTCAGAGGGAGTTCATGAGACATAAACCAGTCAATGGCAGGGAAACAATCTAGAGCTTTTCCCCACACTGAATGCTGACTGTTCAATAGGCTTGCTGTCCTTTTGGCTTAGACAGTGCAGAATAAAAAGAATCGCCCAAAATCATTTGGAAGACTCTGAAGAATTCTGGGTTCTGGTGATAATAAGTGCTGGCAATGCAATAAAGCATTTTAAATGTCAGGCTTGCATGAAGGTAAAATAGGTCACCAATGAGGTCTATTATTCCACTCTCAACCTGTAGCTAAACATGTTCCTATTTTAAGAATCACTTGTCTTGGTTTGCACTACTTTTATTTAGCATTTTCTCAAATCATGTAGGAATCTGCTAAACAAGTTCCAGCTACCTTGGGCAAATTAGAAATGTGTTTTTAATGAAGTTAGATAAAAGGTTAAACTGCTGACAAATAGTCTTTATATTGGAGTTAACAAAGCTGAGCCTCCTATATTGACCTTTTGTTCAGTGACATTCCCAGTGACCTCCAGGTGACCTGAGGGGGAAAATGATGCACTTCCATTTCAGCTGTGGCCAGCTGGTCTAACCTTGTCTGACCAGACCTGGCAAGGCAGATGACACCACCTGTCTCAGGCCCATTTAACATATACTAGGTCAACACAGGTTTAAGAAAACACCAGCTGGAAGGCAGTCTTGTCAAACCTGCTGAATACACAGACTATGGGACACCATCCAAAACTATTAAAAGTTTTGAATATTCTTCCTTTTCAGAATGATGATACATGTAATACTAACCAAGACGCCAATAACATGCAGGAGAGCACTTACTTTTTCTAGCGACCTCTTGAGCTGGTAGTGGAACTTCTCTTTGACCTCATCTAGGAGCTGCTTGAGCTTTGGCTCCTCTGGCATGCCTTGGTACTTCCTGGCAAGCAGCAGGTAGCAGGGCCACTTGGCCGAGTCAAAGCCCCAGTGGCAGGTCCTCTTATCGGGTGACTTGTGTGAATGCATGACAAACTTCTGCGGTGAAAAGAGCAACTGGCACTCAATGCACTGGATACAGTGGGCCTCCGGCTGGGTGTAGAATTGGGGCACAAAGAGACCCTGGCACTTCCCCAAACACTGGTGCTCCACCTGGAAACTGGCTTCGCTCTCCTTCAGCAGGCCCTGGGTTGACAGCTTACCGCTGGGGTCAGAGGGCAATGTCGCCCCAGGACGCAGCAGAGCATTGCACAACCTCTGTGCATCCGTCAGTGTAATGAGGCCACAGGACGGTGCGTTGAACGGCAATATGCCCAGCACCTTGAGGATGTGCAGCTGCTCAGCATCACAACGCGAGCAGTAGACGTAGAGCTCATCGCACACAGTGTTGATCTGCTGCAGCGAGAAGTCGCGGAGCACGGAGTTGAGCACCTGGGGCAGGCAAAGACGCTTCTCTCCCCCGACGACGAAGCAGGAGATGGACTCTCCTTCCAGCAGCGAGTGGGTGAGTTCAGTGGAGCTGTCACAGGGAACCAGCAGAGGGCCCCCTCCCAGAACAGGAGGGGAGGGCAGGGGAGGCATGCCGGCCGGGGAATGCTCGTGGCCGGTGCGGGCTGAGAAGGCAGCTGGGCCCCCGAGGGAGCTCTGGCTGCTGAGGGTGAACTGGGCCAATGTGTGTTTGAGCCCAGGGCTCAGGTCCAGGGCTTTAGCAGAGCCCACCATGTGCAGTTCAGCCCGGCCCTCCACATCCATGTCGTCATGACACAGTTCTTCGATAAACTCCCTTTTCACCTTGGGAGTTTTGGGGAGGGAATCCAAGCTGCGACGCTTCAGGTTGATCTCCGCCATAACTCGCTTCTTGATGGGCGCGTCTTCCAGTCGCTCTCTGTACAGACGTTTCATGTTGCCCTTGAATGAGGTCAAGTCTTTGAAAGGGGTTTTCAAACTGGTCTGGGTGCTGACCATGTTTAGGGACTGTGTTATTGTTGTTTCTTTCAGCTGACTGAATTCTTGTATTCCTCCAAGCCTTCTATTGTCCTTAAGTCTCTTCAAATTACACAAATCTTCTGGTAGTGACACACATGCATGATGATGACTGAAGTTTTCTATTTTCTGATCTGCTTCCTGAGTATAAACATGAAAATAAGAATTTAGAAAACAGGGAAGAGGCAAAAAATATTCAGTCACTATCTACATTATAAATAAACAATTACATTTCTTGTAGATGAATAAACAAACTGAAAATTATATAATAAAAATAATACTGTGGAGCATTAAATAAGTTTAAATGTTTTATGACCGCTCTCCAGGCTGGGGGCTGCAGAGGTCAATGACTGCCCACTTAATCAAATGGCTAATACCATACTTCACACAAACACTAGGCTTGCTCAGCCCTTGTAATTGAACCCGGGAGTACATTTGCATTAAGGTTTTCGCCAAAGGTTTTCAAACAAACTTTCTAGCACAAAGTGAGAATTTTAACAACGAAAACCAGTTGACCAGACATGACAACCCAAGTGAAATTCCCCACCTCCTCCCCCCTCTCCCATTACATCGTTAATGTAAGGCTAATACAATGGTCAAAAACATTTCACTTAGCAAATGAAAGTGCCCTTCCCAACCATATTGTGCCTTCCCCTAGGTCTGCTTACCCCACGCTGACCCCATCAACTCCATGAAAAACAATTGATAAAAGCGTTAACAGCGGTCGTCCGCTTCTCTCAGGCCTTTCACAGCGTGACATACAGCAGTATGGAAAGCGGTGTTTCCCCCTTTTTACTCTTCAGCTTTAGTGCGGTATTACTACATCGACCGTAGGTAAACAAGAGTTAGCTGGTGTCCCCAATTAAATACGTTATTTAGATGATAATGGCTACTGCTACAGTATGACACCAAGAGACGGCAGATTGAATACAGTTTAAGTGTGTTAATGCAACATTTAATAATGACCATTTTGGTTGAGAAATGCATTCGATTTTTAAATCCAGAGTAAATGGGGATTTCGGGTTGTAAAAAACAGGTAAAACGCACATTGGGTAAATTGACCACAATGCATGTATTTGCATGTTTTGCAAATGTCAGCATAACATCGTTTTTTCCACCGAATGAAATGCTGCAAACCTCGAGCTAGATTCCGGTTGATGTTTGTGGGCGTTTTTAATGGAACATATCACCGTGGGCCGGTGAGAAAAAAAAACTGCAAAAATCAGATAGGCAACCAATATATTTGGGTCTTCGCAGCTTCTACTTCAGCCTGCTCGGGACTCCGGGCTGGCTGCAAAAAACCTTCAACTTGATCGGTGTAATTGTGTCAGAAATGAAAACACCGACATTTCTTCGCTAAAATAACACTGCAGCGGTATTTCTCAAACAACCTCACAGCCATAATAGGAAACATTTCCAAATGTCACCTCCACTTTCGTATCCCTTTTTTGCCCCTGCAAGGACACCGCGGATAATAATGCTGCTGCTGCTGCTGCATCCCCAGTAATCCCCCTCCTCCCCTCTCCAGTCTGCAAACTGTACCTCGCCACGACGGCACTGGTATGCAGACAGCGCTGATAATGACATTCACTGTCTGCACTACAGTCTGGGCTGTAGGGAAGGCACCGAGGTCCGGCGCTACGCACACACCGCCTCAGTGAGGACCCGGTGGGGTTTACAACCGCAGAGTTCCCCGTATGTTTAAAAACACAGGTAGCTCGTTACCCCCAACGGTCAAAGAAAACATTAAATGGTACGCATTTGTATGTCAGCTTATTTTAAATTAATTAAATGTCTTGACATATCAGGGGAAACGTAAATATGATGCGCATTCGTCTGGAAATCTATTAAGAATTATTTAATCTTTCAACGTTACATTCTAACGTTAACTGTGGTAACGTTAGCTAGCTTAGCTCCCCCAGCTTACCCCGGTCTAATCAGCATAGCGGGGGTATGAAGCAGGCTAACACGGCTCTCAAGAGCACAGACAGACTAACTTAACCAGGTTCACCCCACCAGCAACGAGAGCGATAATAAAACCGACCAGCAAACACACACTGTGATAAAAAGCAGAGTGGTTCGCGACTGAGAAGGACAACCCACCTTATTATTAAGGCCGTTATAGTAAGCAACAACACGGGACTTAAAGCGCTAACATTACAGCAGGCTAACCCCCAGAAAGAGAGCGATACAGCAGGCTATCTAACCCTCTAGAATAGATCATCGGCTGAACACAGGAATTTAAACTCAAACGTTAACCGTTGGGATCCGTTACCCCCAATATCTAAATACTGTTTGAAAACACATCCTAAAATATCCATGTTTTGTATTAATCGAGTGAAAACTTGCCTGAAAACGCAGCGCGGTGACGGCCGTCCTCTCTTCAGCGGGGTCTTCTCGGTACTGGAAAAGCCTGGCGGATCGTCAACAAGATGCAGCGAGAGGCTCCACTACAGCCCGCAACGTCACACTGCACACAGGCGGGGAGGCGGAGACGTCACCCGGCTGACGGAAACTATGCGGGGGTGTCTCTCGTCTGTCTGTCTGTCTGTCTGTCTGTCTGACTGTCTGACTACTGCACAGCCTGGGAGATTTTATTTGTCTTAAGAAGAGAAAGGAGACAATAAATATGCTTATATGTTTCTGTCCCTTTAGTAGATTGTTATAAGAGAGTATTTTCATTTATTCTGTATATTTTATAGTGTGTATTCCAGTGGGGTAAAGTAACTAAGTTCGTTTTCTCAAGTACTGTATTTAAGTACACTTGAGGGACAAGGACTAGGCCCTCTGTATGTATTTACCTTGGAGATTTTGATTATGATGTGATATATAATCCAAACCTAATAAGACCTGAGTAACACCTGAAAAAATGTGTCTAGTTTTATTGTATAAAGTAATGTATTCTATTTTTAAGAAACTTCTATCTATCTATCTATCTATCTTACATTTCTGTGGACTAGAATATTAGATTGTGCATTGTGTATGTAGAAACCTAAAATGATATTTATATTATGCTGTATATCACAAAACTATTTATGTTTTCCACATTTTATTACAATGTAATGTGAGGTGTATATTACACAAACTTTGGCATCATTAAATGTTTTTGGAACCTGTATCTGCTTTTACTTTTTGTATACGAACAGATGTAGTGTAAACAATTATTCATGTTCCTTTGCCTTTCATCTTGTTGCAGGTCACCTTTATTGGCACGTCCTTGTCTTGCATGATTTGACATGACAATAAGCTTTATCTCTGTCTCTGGTTTGCTTTCCATCACGTTTGTGAAAATGAGAGGATAAGAGAGGGCAAACTCACCCTGGGCAAAAGGGGTGGCTTCTTCTCCCACACCTCCCCCGCACACCCCTCACTCCTTTTATGAACCAATCCTCTGCAAAGGGTCAAGAGGTCATTCAGGCAGCCTATTGTCCCTTTAGCTACGATGTGAGTTAATGAAATCTGAGCATGAGAGGAGGTCAGGAATTAGATTTGATGAATTATAGCTAATTTCACTTGAAGTAGTGGAGTTCCCACTTGTGAGTTTACACACTATCATGTATTACTCCTGTTCTTGGCTTGGATCTTTAAGTGTTATCATGCTATGTCTACATGAGCTGTTTTTTTTGGCTGGCTGACTGACCCACAGTCTGATGTCACACGTCTGTGAGAGCAGAGCGGCTTGATAAAGCTTTGATAAACAACACCGTTGGCCGTTTCGCCGCAGCCTCTCTTTGACAGCAAGGTCAGCAGTTGTATTGTGAGAGCAGATGTGCGTACACCCTGTCCAGCCCCAGAGAACAACAAGAGGGACATTGATTTTCCTGTAATAACATCACTCTGTGTACTGCGGGGAGTAAATTAATCTCATATCTGCCATATTGGGACCAACACTGATTGTTCATTAAAGCAAAAAGCTGAAGGATGAGGTTGTGAAAGATTCACAGACAGACTCTCACATTGATAAGCTTCTCCATTAGCGAAGACTCTGTCCAACTGTTATTGGACTTAGTACTAAGTGGACCCCGGGGGCACCTCAGTCGTTTTCATACATCCTGTCTGGGAATCAATGGGGGATATTGAAATATGTCCCGAGTTGTTCCTTGGTTGTGTTTGTAATTTGCGGTAATGATGCTCGTTTGAAGTGCTGGTCTGAGGTCAGACAACTGCACCTCAGAGTCAGGTTTCATAAACTGGCAGTCCAGTGTATTATTGAACCAGGGTGTGAACTCATACTGAGGAAGACCAAGATTTGGGGTCAAAACATCATGTACACATTGAATTAAAGAAGAACTAAGATTGAGATAGTGTTTTTGTCCCTTTTTTCAGCTAAACCTTGAAATGTATTTCTCATTACATAAATTGACGAACATTAGATTCATGTTTTCTTAACATCTATGTGAAAACGGTCAACAACAAAAAAAATACTACAATGAAACATCCCCGGTTAATTATTTACATTAGGACACATCTCTTTTTAATTTTGAAATATGCACTTCTTTTTTTTTTTTACTCCACTAGTCTGAAATAAGACTAACTTTCTAAAGTTTCTCGCCTTAAGTGATCATGTTTTTCTCTCCTGTTCTAATCAATGTATGTTGCAGCAGCAATGCTCCTTCATTATTCTACTGGTAAGTCCCATTCATTCATGTAAAGCTTTAGGTGTTTCTGAAGTGTTGGTCATGATGACTAACCTCAAGTGCATCCTAATGATGTTTTTATATCTCGAGATGCCTCCACTATATCATTACAATCACTTCAGTAGAACGCACCAGTTTAAAGCCACCCAGCAGGAAGGTTGGGACAAGTGTACCTACCTACGGAGGCTGAACAACAACTCATTGCTTCGGTGCTACAGACAAGAGCCCCAGTAAATGTAGTGTGAAAGCATGGAGACCGTGCCAAGTACACGATCCACCTTAAACTGCAGTGTGTGTTTTACTAAGGGATTGCATTTAGCATAGAGTATGATTCTTCTGCTGCCTAATTAAGCCCTTCAGGGACGGAATAAAACACCCAACAAGATAAGAGCAATTAAAACAGGATGTTTTTTCAGATCCTCTTCCATTTTAACATCATTAATTATACAAGGTTAGTCTTCCCTGTGTCTTCCACCGGGTGATGTGGAGCCACAAAGCCTGGGGAGGTGAGTCCGCCCCCCCCCCCCCCCCAACGTTCTCCACCGGAGAGGGCACAAGAACAATGTCAAACACACCATCATGGGAATACAGAATTATGCAAAGACATTTATCCTCGACCTGCGTGCGGCAATTCTGTATATTTCTCGTGTCGCAGTACAAGTGCAGTCATTTTCCACGAAATCTGGCTCAATTGAGACAAGATACAATGGTTATAGTGGAATAGTGGAGCAGGATGTGTAATAAGCCTCACAATGGGTTTCTATCCACCATTGTGCGACTTATTGCAGCACACAAATCAATCCGTTTTATTATTTCTGACACATCATCATTTCCACGACCCTTTTTCTTTCACCTCTCAGCGCTCAGCACTGTGTGTGTGTGTGTGTGTGGGGGGGGGGGGGGGGGGGGGGGGGGGAGCAATGGTGTCAATGACCTTTTCACCCCAGGGTACACCGAGGGCCTTCTAAAGCTGGGCGGTCACGTTAGCAGTGCAGACATGCAGCTGGAACGGAAAAGCTGAAGCTTAACGACTCAAGCCTAATTCCTCTCTCCAGGCGCCCAGGAGGGTCTGAGGCTCAGGTCTGGTCTCGGCAGTAAAACCCTCACAAGGTGGTGTGAGTTTGTGCAAAAAGGAATAATCTCCGGAGTGCAGTGCGCTATTTGTTCTCCAAACCAGTTCACTTTTGAGAGGGACTGAGTCAGTTCGATTTACAGGTTTTTCTTTATTTGCCAATCTTAAAAAGTAGGACCATTTAGACATTATTGGGGAGAGCGACGTCAGACTGAAATAAGTCATCTATTAGATTGATTTTTATGAAAATGTGTGCAAATATCCAATAAGCCTACTGACTTTTCCAGTAGCACCAACATGAGGTGGACATTTTTATTAAAACTATTGGATGCAGTGCCATAAAATAGACATATTCATGGTGCCAAAAAAACAATCCTATTTAATTAGGTGATCCTCTCAATTTAATCACTGGTGTCACATCACATTTTAAGTTTAACATGTCTGTCTTTACGTGTTAAAGCACATCTTTTGGACTTTACTTTGAATCTTCTTTTTATTCTTTGTACTGCAACTTTCACACATGACTTGGATCATTTTTGCATATTTCTGCCCTAACAGAAAACAATTTCTAAAACTGGGATAGCTCATTTAATTCAAATACTTTGTACGTATTATTGTAACTTTCTTCGATTCTATATTTATCTGATGCTTATGCACCAATACACCAAATAAATGCCACTGTACATGAGAACATACTTCATTAAAAAAAAAACACTGCAGCCAATTATTCTTTACTTTGGTAAACAAACATGCACTTAAAAGGATCTCTACCATGAAGTTCCCAAAATAAATAGGAAACCAGATACTGAAGTGCTTTCTAATCCTGCAAGTTATTTAAAATGTTTTTGTGTTTACATTAAAGGGGCACTTTTGTGATTCAGTATTGCTCTTGCATAATATTGCAAGACTTGTGTGAGAGACGGATTCAAATAGGATTGGTAAATATTGGAGCAGCAGAAGCTCAATTATCCTCAATTTTAGTCCATGAAACACTGACTCCTACATTTCCCATAATGCAACTCAAAACAATAATAATATTCCACATGAGTAAATTGACTTGTGAGAAAATCAGCGGAGCTACACTCAAGATAAATGACAGATGCACACAGACACGAGCACGTATTAACACAAGGAGAGAAATAAAATGTTTATTTTACTGTCTTTGTTTTTTCTTTGCACACTAATAATAAACATCAGCAGAGTCTTGGGTGGTAAACATCCCCAAAAACACAACAAATACAACAAAATGTGTTTCTGTTGGGTTCACCCAGTAACATTTTGGAATCAATGTAGTGATACAAAAAAAAGATTCAAAATTAAAATCTGATTCACAAAAAAAAAAGTAACCAAAAAAGCTAAATTAACTTTTGTAACAGATGAACGAGTCTGGAGGTCCATCATGCACCGTCACCGAGTGCCGTTACAGTCGGGGGGGGGGGGGGGGGGTTGTAGTGTAAGGTTTTACAGAGAAGCTTTACAGAACTATATTGCCTCAAAGCAGTTTTACAAAATGGGTAATGGGAGATCAAATGGAGCAGAGCGGATGCAGTTTACAGTGAGCGCTGCGTTGTGGCTTTCTGACCGAGCTCTCGTTTCAACAATCATTTAAAATCTTGATTTACAACAAAAGACAGACGTGGAATGGAGAAAGTACAAAAAAAGATGACAGACCATACGTTTCAGAAAG